TTCTTAAATAGACTCACTGGGTCCAAACCAAGGAGAGCCGCTGTACAAGCTGGTGGCCAACCCCCTCTCACTCGCGGGCCATATATCCGCAATAGCACCCCCCGCATTGGCGAGTGGCGACGACCCAAACACGCCCGCCAAGAACCGAAAGAGGATGAGGACGTAGGCGTTTGGTGCGAGTGCACAGGGGATCTGGAAGAGGAAAAACGGGAGGAACGAGAGCAAAAAGATTCGGCGCTACGATTAAAAAGAAATTGAAAGTGAAAATGGAAAGATTGAGGGGGGGCTTACGAGTTGGTAGTACGCTCCGGTATTGTTGAGGCGGCGCGCGCAACAGTTGCAACGGGAGAGTGGAGATACGGTCGTTTACATCTCCAAGTTTGATATTGGACATACCGAGACTGTCACGAAGAAGCTCACGACCAACCTCATGAGGCCATTCCGTTCGTCGCTCCCTTTCTCACCTCTTCCTTACTCACCTCTTCTATTAGTGTTCTTGTTTACCGAGCCGATCGTGACCTTGCTCTCCATCTACATTGCCCTCCTTTACGGCTCGCTCTACGCCACGTTCATCGTGTTCCCGATTGTATTCCAGGTCGGGCGGCATTGGAGTCCAGGCTTTAGCGGCCTCAGCTTTTTAGGCTTGGGAGTAGGAGTGTTGATTGGTGTCCTTTCAGCACCTGTGCATAACAAGATCTATCTTCGGATGGCGAGCAAATACCCAGATGGAAAAGCTCCTCCTGAAGCGTGAGTAAAGCCGACTCGCTTTAGATTGAGAATGGAGATGTTGACGATTTCGGTATTTAGACGCCTGATCCCTGCCATGTTTGGGAGCGTACTTGTGCCGATTGGACTCTTCTGGTTCGCATGGTAAGTCACTCCCCCGCACCTACACTCTCATAAAACTCACTTCTCCTTTCCAGGACGAACCAACCCACTACCCACTTCATGATCCCCATCTCTGCCGGTGTACCTTTTGGCCTCGGGATGCTCCTCGTATTTACATCCGTGACCGCCTACCTCATGGACACCTACAAGACGTTCACCGCCTCTGCACTGGCGGCAGTCGTGGTGCTACGTTCCATCTTGGCAGCTTTGTTCCCACTCTTCATCGCCGGGTTGTTTAAAAAGATTGGGAATCAATGGGGCGCGAGTTTGTTTGCTTTTTTGGCGTCGGTATGCACGCCGTTGCCATTCCTCTTTTACGTGCGTATTTCTTTTTTACATATCGGAGTGTGTGACTGATGATGATTGTAGTTCCTTGGTGCGAGAGTACGCATGAATTCCAAGGTGGCACGGCAATTCGCGATCGCCGCGATGAAGTCACGGGAGAGGCCGTCCAATCCTACTCGCGAAAAGCCGGCTCAATCCAGCTCGTAGAAGAAAACTTCTTGACAACGAGTAGAAAATCCGCCCATTTCTTGTTCAACGCATACATACCCAAGCTCGACGCTCTAGACGTTCCAGACGTTCTCTTCGTATTATGATTTGTTTGGTCAGAGGGATACGGACTCGATACTGTACTATATATAGCTTTCTCTCTTGTACTCCCAGTGTTGGGGGTCGAGATAATTTGTATTTTTTGCATAGAGTAGACTTGTGGCAATACATCGGACGGTAATCAGACACTTTGCTTACGGGTTTCGCACTCAGTCTCGTTATAATGGGATCAATATGAGACTATATGAAACTGGGGTCGAATTGTGAAAAGAGAGTTCGTGAGGAAGAGCCTGTCACTCCAACGACTACGTAAGCCGATAATAGCCGGTATTCTTCATATTCCCGACCAGAATCCTAATAGAGAATACGTACAGGCATTTACCTCATTCTACACAGTAGCCGGTTGCTTTCCTACGTTGTTGGGATTTAAGAGTACGGATAGGAAATGGGCGTATACGCAATGATCGAATGAGTTGCACCGCATTCGTCCAGGGTGTGGCCGAAGGAGAGTGGAAGGGCCCTCTACACACGCATCTAACCGAGATGCCTTGCAAGGTTGCAGCCTCTGGGGTCTACTTCTTTGAATTAATTGGCCCATGGATGTGGGTAAGGTCT